TAATAACCTTATAACAACATACAACAACCTGTCATAGTTAACTTTGATATAATCAAATAGTATTACATCGGTCCATTCCAGATTTATGTCACCTGAAAAGAGGGGCTCTCCAATGACCCTGTAAATACATAATACATAAAAGATTGAAATTCTGTTAAAAGTTCATATGCCATTCAGATAAGTCATGAACAATAATTACTGTACACCTAAAAAACAGATTGACAATTTTACATTTATTTTTGCGCGTACGTGTTTTAGTAGTTTGAACTACAGAGCTTCTAATCGCGGATTTGACTATTCGCACGCTGAAAAATGTCGGGGAAAAAAGTAGATCGTGTAGACCAGTGGGGGCGTACTAACCCTTTTTTTCAGACCTTCTATCCACTGTGTGAGAGATACAATATCTCCATCTGTGGGTGGATCGGGCATTCGTTTGCTGTCGGGTTTCTTTCCTTTTTTCTTTGTTTGTACGCCATTGCATAGCCCGGAATTAAGGTTTTCGTAGAGAGCGTGGCTGAGGGGACACTATCCATGCCCATCAAGCGAAATAAGTGAAATGCAAGAAGTTCGGCTGCGTGTGAAAAGAGATTATATTGTGAGTAATGTTAAAAATATGATACCGGTAACTTGGAGGTAGGCGACTTAGTACTTATGACAAGTGTGCGTATTCGGCCCCTCGACCCCGCTACCTTGGCATAGTTTCACTGTGCCATCCCAAACCTTTCAACCATAAGCTCTATAATTCAATCATACAAATAAGGGAACCATAGAGAAGGCTTATGACATTTAGTTTCAAGATGCCTTTCGATAAATAAAAGAAATAATGATTTGGCAGTAAAATATAGGAGTATGCGCTCAGAGAAAAAAATAACGCTAGTGCGCATGCGTTTCGAATTACATTTATGTTTAGATGAATTTGCATTTGCAATATACATTGTTACATCAAAAGAGTATTTCTATGTTTTTTGCGCATAACAAATGCGACTGCGTTCAAGCTGTATATAGAGAATTATATAAACATAATTGTGGTGTTTTTGGCTTCACATTGTGATTTCTCACCCTTCCATAATGGGAAATCTGCGTGTACTATGCTCATCTACGAAAAAACATCTGTACTTTGTGTTAGGTGGTATATATTTGGCAATAGTTGAATGATGAAGGTCGCAAGGAATATTTAAACTTCTGAATATATTGCACTAAAGAGAGATAATATTTGCCATACAAACATCTCAGCTCACAGTTCACCTGGCGTGCAATATACTGACTATCGTTAGACAATATAGCCATCCAGCGTCTGCCATCGTCTGACATCTGTACCAATTTCTTGGCCGAGAGATTTTTTCAATGTGTTCTTTTTATTAATATCTTCATCAGTGACACCTGCAATACCAAATAATTTAAGAAAAGTTGGTAGGCTGATGAGAGGTCTGTTGAGGGATGCAAACACGTTGTTTTGCTGGCCTTTGCCATGGCAACGGTAGTTCAGGATTGTTTTGTCAATTTGTTCCACTAAGCTAGATTATAGGTATGACCAGCCTATCGACTTTGCACAAAGTCGATCCAGACAAAAAAAAATCAGAGAAAAGTAGATACGTAATTGGCCCGACATCAGAAAAAATATTTATGAATTTGCTTGTTAGACTTAAATACTCGATGAACTTGAATGTTCAATGACCTCCAAGAATCAGAAAGGATAAATACATCATGATTTGAATGAACTAAGTGTTAAAATATCTGTATTAATAATAATAATAGCTGTTCTGTTGATATATATCAGGGATTTCGGATAATTAAACGGCTGTGGTAGTTTCAACTTCTGATAATATCCTATATTTGGGGGTTCTACTTGTTTATTCTCAGTGATTAATGTTTTCAGAACTCTCAACACGCGGGGATATTCTACAATTGGGGATGAAGTTACACTCTCTATTGATGTAGTAAATATGTCAATGCAACACAAAAGACAGGCACACTCCGAGTAAATTGCAAATAAAGAACACTATTTCGCACGTTGCCGGTAATCCTGGAACAACGTTTTCTCACGGTTTTGAAGGCGAAGATCGATGGTAGAATTCAGTGACGTGTAACGGATGTTAAAAAAATTAGGATAATTATGTGAATCATTTTATCAAATTAACCACAAATCTCTAAAGTAACAACCTGTGATCACCCGGATGTGCCAATCATAAATTCATTTGATGTATGTAATTATCGAAACTATGTATTCCACTGACAACGTGCGCGTGCGGTTATACGCATAGCGGAATTGGAAGTGATTTGGTATTAATGAGATTTAACAGTTGTTGGCCAAACTAATACCGACCGTCGCGATTGCCAATTAGAGCTAGGTCGATAGAATACTTAATTGATTTATGACACCCTAAACTAAGAGCCTATACATTGTTATTATTACATCATGAGTATGTTGATATTATAAAAACGAAAAAAACAACAAAAAAACGAAAGAATTTCAGTCTTTATAATTTTGAAAGTTTCATATGTGGGAACAACGATTAAATATCAGTGTATACAAAGGATTTGATTGAACGTTAGAATAACTATTTATTTATAACCGTTGAACAATTGCGGATTTGGTGAAATAAGTCGTTTTTATCTGAATGAATAATAAATCTAACGAGAATTCATTTTATTTCAGGAAGTGTCATGTGGAAATACAGGCCTTAGAGGGCGTGCCAACGTAATCTACACAAAGTAAGCCATCAGATCTCGGTTTGTGGTTTAACAAATTTTTTTTTTATATTGCGCCCTCAATTTGTCATTCTGCAGCAATTTATTTTATTGCAAAGTGCCTTACAGAGTTGGCATGATTCCAATCATAGCGACACGTTTATCGTCGCTCCATTCAATGAACAATACCATTCAACCATGTCTAAAAAACCACCAGACCGTAGATTTCACGTTTTACAATTACACTGCCTCAAACACTCAATCAATTGTTACATGCATTTGTTGGAGTCTGTGCAAGCGACCCTGGATAATATTCAGAATCTCATAAAATACTCACAGCCAAACATTACGTAATAAGTGTACATCGATCTAGGAAAGTAATGACGTCGAGAAACTGGTCTTGTTATATTAATGTGGCACAAAATGTGGTCTTGTGTGATATATCATCTGTACTTCCGTCTGTGTACACTAAATGTTGTATGTGTACATTACTGCTATTCTACACAAAAGAATGAAACCCAACAAAAAGTTTCTCTCTGCTTAAGTGGTCTCTTTAACATCGTATGCCTTATGATTGGTAATGGTATTTATGCAGCTGTTTTCACTTGATATATATTGTGTAAGCTGGGGTGCCTGGCTACCTGGAATGCATTCATGCTTCATTCATCGT